TTGCTTGAAGTCCAGTGTGAAGTTTCCACAGTCAGTGATGATTTGGGCTGCCATGTCATCTGCTGGTGTTGGTCCACTGTGTTTTCTGAAGTCCACAGTCAACGCAGCCATCTACCAGGAATTTTTAGAGCACTTCATGCTTAATTCATGCATCACCTAATTTCATCGTAACATATAGGCTGGCCTACAGAAAAGAACATTTATGCTGAATCTATCTAATATTGTGTTGGTCATACTATACCATGATTTATAGCTTGTCTTTGTTGAATAATACAGAACATAAAGAGCTTTAAAAAATAATTGCATATTAAATCGCAATCGCAATATTGGTAAAAAAAAATCGCAATTAGATTATTTTCCAAAATCGTTCAGCCCTAGTTGTATTTAACCCAGCATTTTTTAGAGTGAACTGGATGCAACAAATGCCTTGTTTGTAATGGGTTTTATTGGTTTTGTCTCGTCGCGCCGGGAGACGGCATCACAGTATGGTGAGGGGCGTAACATTTCCGTCACACGCTTGAGGTATTCGGGCAATCACAGCGCACCTTGCTTGTCAGACTGATGAGCTTTGTAAAAAAAAGATGAGCGTTTCAGAAAGGCGGGGCATAGAGGAGAAACAATAATGTACAGTATGTGGAAAATAATGTGTTTTTTGAACCTTAAACCACATAAACACATTTCATTACACCAAATAATGTACTTTTTAGCAACATCATATGACCCCTTTAAGGAATAAATTGAATGGAACACGTCAATAAGATGATCTTTAAATGTAAAAGCATTTTATTTGCAACGCATCAAAGTTTTAAAATACATCTTCCATCAGATCTCCATTTCTTTTTAATTTCATTAAAAAAAAAAAGCTTATAACTTTTATTGTACCTTCTGATCACACTGTAAAAAACTGATGTTCGCTTTCCAGTGCAAACGTCCAAAGATTCTTAAATCAAGATACATTTACTTGAGAAGCAAAATGTCATGAAAAGGCTTGTTTTAAGAGACATTGATCAAAATGAATTAAGTGTATGATTAAAACGAGAACAAATAACAGCTAATAATGGGCTCAGAAAACACGAATGAGATCTGGGTGTCATCCGAAGCGTGCAAACCTGCGTCTCAGAGAGAATATTGAGTTCTCTTTCAAGTCTTGTGTTACAATGGGCAAATTCACACAGCAATTATGTCAACATGCCCGTCTTGGTGAGTATCCTATGGTTGAACGTACAGTATCAGTGAACTAGATCCGTGCATTGTCTTAAAAATTTTTATGTTAATCAAACAACAGAAGACAAGGAAATCACTCACTGCTGTTGACTGAATAACTTTTGTAACTTTAATAAGGATTCGTCTTTAATTTATAGTCAAATATGCAATGTTATTTTACATTTGATTACTTTATTCAATTTCTGTACCTAAAAACTAATGTTAGACATACCTAAAAAAAAATAAAAAACCTGAAAAGCACTGTTTATTTTATTTGTATCTTTGCTCTATTGTATTTTTTGTGCTGTTGCTTGAAGTTAAATTACTTGTTCTTATTTTCTTTATTTTTATTTGACAGTATAGTCCTTTTTTCCCCCTAAACATAGCACATACCGAACCTTGCTGTAACCGTGACCCTAAATGTTAATCAAACAACAAAAGACAAGGAAATCACTCACTGCTGTTGACTGAATAACTTTTGTAACTTTAATAAGGATTCGTCTTCAATTTATAGTCAAATATGCAATGTTATTTTACATTTGATTACTTTATTCAATTTCTGTACCTAAAAACTAATGTTAGACATACCTAAAAAAAAAAAAAAAAATCTGAAAAGCACTGTTTATTTTATTTGTATCTTTGCTCTATTGTATTTTTTGTGCTGTTGCTTGAAGTTAAATTACTTGTTCTTATTTTCTTTATTTTTATTTTTTTTACTTTTTTCCCCCTAAACATAGCACATACCGAACCTTGCTGTAACCGTGACCCTAAAACCGTGGTAAGTAATAAGCTAGCTTTCAGCTGTTACTGTAGTGGCCACAACGACTACAGCATTATGAATCGCATGATATAAGCACCACCAAACTTAAAATCTGCAAATCATCACAAAATCACTTTCGCATTTGATGGAGCAGCACAGCAAATTATTATGTTATCTACAAACAAATCGGCCAAACCTTTGTAGTTTAATGGCAATGTCTTTCCCAAGTTCTCTTACATCTTGATGAAAGCATAACAAACTGACAGGGCAAAACTACACAAGTCGACAGTGGTCCATTGTGTTCAACCTAAAACAAATGCTAACAAGTCTCTAGTTTCCTGGAATCCAGTGAAAGACGGACTCAGCGACCGATGAAGGGAACTACACTTAAAAACAGGTTCTTCGATGGTTCTCTGAAAACCCCTCAGCAAAGAACCCTCTTGTTATCTAGAGCCACAGGGGCTTCTTGAGCTGCTCCTGTACAGAGACAGTTACATTAGAAGTTCTTCAGATCAATGCAGGCTACTAATTTCTAAGACTAGAACACATAACAAAAAAATAAGTTCTTTATGAAAATGTAAAATAGACTGAAATGCATAGTCTCTGCCAAATGCATTATAAATTATTCATTACATTTAGACATAAGGGTGCCTATATTTAATAAATAGGCTACTTTTATAGAATTAAAGTAGTTTAAATTAAGAATAAAATAACCTATATTCATAGGTATGAGCTATAAACATATTGTATAAAGCAATACATTGATAAATCAGACTGTAAGCATCGTGTCTCCGAGGGCTTACGAGCTAACTTAGCTACTATTTACTAGGGAGAGAGCTATGGGCTAACAAGCGAAATAATATTATAGCGAGAGAATACAGAATGTATAAAACATGTGGACTTCTACACATCGTTTTAAAATGTGTATGTAACGTTTAAACTCATCTGTAACCTCAAACACGGTTAAATGAGTCCCTCGCGAGCTCTCTAGCCAGTCGACGGCGGCGTGTCGAAAGCTCGCGAGCTGCCTAGCTAGACAGCACTTCAGCTGCACTGGAACGCTCTAAACGCAGTCTAGCTAGGCAGCTCGCTATGTTTTGAAACGCAGACCGCGACACTTCACGCCGTCTGAAAACAAACGTCTTATTATTGTTTATTAGCCCACATAAGTGTTGTGATACATACCAGCTCATCTTGTGCTCAAATGCAGTCCAAATCAATAGAAATATAATCCCTTTCCTCCAAATACATCGCCTTTTCAGTCCATAAGAGTGGGACGGCGAGCAGGAAGTGGAGAAGTTTAATGCAAGTCAGAGGTCGAGGGGATTTAAACTACGGCAAGCGGAGAGGGCAAACTACAGCCGCGCAACAGGTACCAGACACGTACACGCACTGCGTTTAAGAAGCAAACCAAATTATTGTAATGATACCAGATTTCGTAGTGTCGGTAATGGTTTATGTTCAGCATTATTTATTGTCCATTCTTTACGGAAACTTTATAAGGGCTGTCGAATACTTTTAAAGGGAAATGCAAATGCAAAATCCTATAACTCGGAAGTTGCTATTTTAAGGCTCTGCGAAGTTTATCGAGTTCTCATGTAATGTTTAATTTGAGCTTTGTGTGAACTTTGTCTCTTATTTCTCCTGAAATCTTTAGCAGAAGTAGGAATAATCACAAATGAGACACTGCGAATATATAACTCGGGTAACGCGAGTACTTGAGATGATTGAATTGAATAAGAAATGTTTGAAATCTCTGATCTTTGCTCAAATCATTGCTACTGCGGACAAAAAAAAAGAGATATGAAATAAATATAATTTATAATTGTTCTTTTCTACAGGGTTTGTTATTGGAAAATGCCAATCTCTTAAAGGGGTCATATGATGCGATTTCAATTTTTCCTTTCTCTTTGGAGTGTTACAAGCTCTTGGTGCATAAAGAAGATCTGTAAAGTTGCAAAGACTAAAGTCTCAAATCCAAAGAGATATTCTTTATAAAAGTTAAGAGTTAACCACGCCTACCTAAAACGGCTCGTTCTAACACACCCCCACATGTCTACCTCACTATGTGGGAAGATTTGCATAACGCCGCCCAAATGTTGACGCAAAGAAAGAAGGCGTAACTTTGATTCTCGCTGTAGTTTTGTTGCTGCCGCCATGTCGTGAAGATGCTGTGTGTTTCGTTGTGAAAGCGAAACTATTTTGTTTGGTCTTCCAAAAGAGGACGATATCCACTTCGTCATGCCTAGAGCTGATCTGTACTGATCGCTGAGGGAATACATCAAATTTCACCGTGGACAAAGCGGAGTCCAGTCCACCTCAGCGCACTCTATCCCGGCCTCAGCGCACGCTAAGCCGGGGCTTCCCCTCACGCTAGGCCGCTGTGTTTTTCGTTGCCACTGATGATTCAAACACGAGTTTTGGGCAGAAGAGTAGCACTTGTTGTTTGTCATTTCTCCGATCACAAATGCAGACAGAGTTTTATGTTTACGCGGCGCAATACAACGCGTAAAAAGACAGTACGAGTCATTATAATCAGTAATTACGTCCCCACTGGATGCAACAAATGCCTCGTTTGTAATGGGTTTTAATGTTTATATCTCGTCGCTCCGGCCGGACAGGGCATCACAGTATGGTGAGGGGCGTAACATTTCCGTCACACGCTTGAGGTATTCGGCCAATCACAACGCACTGGATAGCTGGCCAATCAGAGCACACCTCGCTTTTTCAGACCGATGAGCTTTGTAAAAATCGACGCGTTTCAGACAGGCGGGACATAGAGGAGAAACAAAAATGTACAGTATGTGGAAAATAATGTTTTTTTTTTTACTTTAAACCGCATAAACACATTTCATTACACCAAATACACAAAATAATGTTCTTTTTAGCAGCATCATATGACCCCTTTAATGCACATTGACATCAAGGACGATAACTATAATGATAACGGTAACTAAAACGTTTTAATAAGCATTCCAGTTCTATGAGAATAGCAGAGTCCACACCACAACTATATAACGATAAAGACACAGAGGAAGAGTATGGTTGGAATCACGTTCAGAACATGTTTTTTTTTCCTGCTGGTGAACAGTAAAAATATTGAAGGCCAATCAGAATCAATCCTGCTTTTTAAAACGCTTGAGTATTTAAAGCAGTAGAAATCTTCTATTGTTGTGACCACTATAGTTATCATTCTAGATATCGTTATCATTTCTGTTCTTGGTGTGAATGAGCCTTAAATAAAAATTCAAAAAGAAGGTCTAATTCTTTTGAGAATAGGTAGGTGCACACCACGACTATAACGGTAACGAAACATGGGAATGATATCGTTGGAATCACTTTCAGGCTATTTTGTTTTGCATCTGAAGAATGAATTTTATATATTGACAGCCAAACATAATTTACTGGAATTTAAAGAACTTGAGCAGATGAAAAGTAGTTATTGTTACTAATTCTGGCATATTTACATGGTGTATATTTATACAACAATGTTCATGAATATGCACGGTCCCTATTAAATAAACCAATAAATAAATAAATACATACAATTTAATGCAGCAGATGATATAACGATAGCACACGCCTATAATAAAAAAATTATAATAATTAAAAAAATAATAATTAAAAATAACTTTTTTGTCTGTTAGTCACTCTGGGTGCTCGTATAGTTTTCAATAGTTGTCGTCTTTCAAGCCAAATCTTCAAATGAGAATTTTTACATTTAAAAGTTAACAGTAATTGACTACCCTGTGGTAATGAAACCGATTTTTGCAAAATGTATTTTTATTCATGCAACTTTTTTTAAATTATTATTAACCACCCACACCTTCAAATTTAGGGCAATTTATTCCATTTTTTTCAGGTGGTTGACACATTTATTTGTTTTATACATGAGCAACACAAAAAAAGACACAATGGATTCTGTTGTATTTTATTCAGGTGTGTATTCAAGTACGCATCAACTGGTAAACATTTAATTTACAACAAAATGAGAAGCCAAGTGAACATTTCCTCTCCACAAAAGGATAACATCAATTAATTTTGTGAACAATTAAGAGATTTTACCACTGGGCCTTACTATAAGGCAATGGAAGTAACAGGAGGTAAAAACGTATCAAAACATCCTTTCTTCTAGTGAACTAAATCCCACGCTTGTGTCCCTCATACGCATAAACGTGACCACAAACAACTCTAAGTGCCTCCATCTGATAAGAGACATGCAAGACATGCAGTAAGAGATACAGTCCTGTAGAAAAAGAATATGGATACCAAAATATCAGCCACACAACAAAGCATTCATTTGCACACTATAAACCGTAAAACGTTATGAGAACGGGTGGGCATCAGTAAAGATGACTTTCTTCTTCCTGTTGTGTTTTTTGTAGAGGAGATGAGTCACTGATCATGTACAACGCAGTGGACAGCATCATGGGCCAATGCTGAATGTTTACTCTCAGTCTTTAATGACCGCCCATAATGAGAGGGTTACAGGGAGCAAAATAATCAGGTAAACAACAGTGAATCAGCGTTGTGAAACAGGGCCTGCTTCAGAGCTGACTAGGGCCACATTTACATTTCTGTGCTGTCCTCTGTGCATATTGTTCCATGGCAGCCAAGCCTGCAACCCGGTTTGGCAGAAACAAGGCTGTTCATCCTGGCTCTGATCCAAAGCAGGACAGTGAACAGTCATGCTGAGACCATGACAGAGAGGGGGGAGCTGAGTTGTGAGACTCGTCATGATATCCATTTGCCCCAAAAATGGGCTGCTTCGTATTATACGAAAGCACTGAGTGAAAAGGCTCGCAAAGTTCTTGATTAATTGCTAATGATACTGGAATTTCATTCATATATATATATATATATATATATATAATTTTTATAACAGTTGGGGAGGGCTAATATTGAGCTAGTTTCGCTGATACTGTACTCACATGGCCACAGCAATTAATTTTTGGCTATTCTAGTGAAATTGACTCTGACGTTCACATATAAAAATGGAAAATATGGACATGGAAGCACTCCGCACAGATATACAGGTGCATGCAAGCATGCTCAAACACAAACACACGCACATACACACAAGTTTTCTGGAGGTCACGATTGCTTGTTGCTTCACAGAACTTTATGAGGAAGACTTTTACTTGTTGTAGCTAACAAAATCGGAGTTATGACAGATGTTATGTTTTACATTAGAATTACTTCAGCACATTCTAATCGTCAGATGAATTTCCTTTGTATTCCGTAACGCAGCTCCTAACTTAGAATGTTCTCTTCAAACTGAAGAAACGCACACATGTAAGCACACTATTCCGTCGGGTATCGTAGCTGATAAGGACAACAAAAGGACAATTGTCACATAAAAATAGTAATTTTTAAAGTGTTAACGCTTGTTGACACTCTGCATGGTTTGAATTGGATGCATATTGCTGTGGTTCTTCAGTCGTGACTGATGCAATCTTTCCAGTACTAGCAAAGACGTGATACTAGATGCATGCAGGGATACAGGCAGCAAAAACAGAAAGGCAAAATGGCCCTTATGTCCACTAAATTAAGCGAAACAGGTAAAGGCCACAGCTGTGTCTTAATTTCAGTCCCTACTGTAGATCTGTAGTCTTTTATTATCGTTGTTGTTGTTTTTTATTGCACTGAAAGTCCGTTGCTGATAACAAATGCCATCTGCATCCCTTACTTGTATATAAGGGATTTCGAAATAGTAAAATAATGCAACAGACCTTTAACGTCCACCTGAACTCAGTCTCCTTGAGCCTTCAGAGCTCATAGGTTTTCCCCAAATCAACATTTGAAATGAAGTTATTAGGTTAATACAAACAATATATATATATTTTAATTGTCTGCTGTATTTAAATACATTTGGCACATTCTGTTGAAAAACAACAACAACACAGAAACATTAAATAATTAACCATCATTTAAAAAGACTGCAACACATTAAGCAAATGAAAGTGCACTTTTTTATCTGACAACTCACTGACAAACCAAAATACAAGGAAAAAATTAAAAGACTAAAATCTCGAGAGATTGCTCTGGTCCCCAGAGCTGAGAGTTGGACCCTTATGACTGCGCTGCGTCTGCAAGTGCTCTTTCTGTGGATTGACCTGACTGCTTGAACTGTCATCTCCTTCCCATCCATGCAGCACTCGTCCACTTACCCCCCACTCATTTGACCAAAAAACAATAGTGGCTACAGAAAAATGCCACCATAATCAATGAAAACCGTAGGAAACGGATGGATATAGTGAGAGGGAGCGAGTATAAGAGTCAAGTGTGTATATAAGAGGAGAAAGAAGCCTTCGTTTTTTTCTCCTCAAAGTCTTACTTTGCAAGTCCATCTCATGCACAAGTGGTGACGGTCATGATATTGGCACTGCTGGGTCCCGCGCTCCCACAGGAGCTCGGAGGAGAGGTGTGGCTCCCCCCGGCCCCAGCACTATTGCCCTTGTCCGTGGGTTTCTTGTCTTTTTGTTTCAGGTGCACCTTGGCGTGCCTCTTTCGCTCGTCGCTCCGCGCAAACTTACGCCCGCAGAACTCGCAAGAGAAGGGCTTCTCGCCGGTGTGCGTACGGATGTGTGTGGTTAGATGGTCGCTGCGACTGAAGGATCGCATGCAGATGCGGCACTGGAAGGGTTTGTGTCCCGTGTGGATGCGCAGGTGACGCGTCAACTCGTCTGATCGAGAAAAGCGACGGTCGCAGTTCTCCGCCGGACAGGCGTGCGGTCGCTCGTGCACGGGAGTTTTGCTCGGCCGGTTGGGGTACTTTCTTGGTCGAATGGGTTTGAGAGCGAGTGTTTGAGAGGGTTGATGGTGTTGGGAAATGTGCTGTTGCCCACCGAGAAAGCTGGGATGGATCTGTTGCTTATCCTTAAAGGCTCGAATGGTCTCGAGGGGAGTTATGGGAGGTGGGTTGACTCTAATAGGGTCCATGGTTTGGAAGGGTTTATGCTCCATCACCCCTACGTCCCCCTGGTGATGGAAGAGGTTGTAGTCTGGGATCATGGAAAAGAGACTTCCATCCATGCCCGGTTTGGAGGTGGTGTGGTAGTCAGAGCTCGGGTAGGGCAGAGACGAGGACGTGGCCGGGCTGTGGTGGAACGTCACCTGTTCTGGGTATATCTCGCCACAGGTCGAGTAGGCAGGAAGGGGTGGTGCGTATATTTGCTCCATGTCTGACGACTGGCCACCCATGTTGCCGCTCGACGAAGACGTCTGGGTGGTGATGTTGCCAGGTGACGGTGACACCCCCAGGATTCCCGCACTCACCAGGCTGATGATGTTGTTGTCGGGACACCAACCGGAGCCTCCGATGCTGCCAGATGGAGGGGTGTCGAATGCAAATTTGCCCAGGTAGGTGACGGTTTGTCCGCTTCGACCAGACTGGAAATTAGAGCCGTACTGAACTTCTCCGCTGCCCTTCTCGCCGCCCATCCCCAAATCCATGATATTATCTGTGTGACAGGGGGTCAGAATGGACACCGTCAATTCAGAATGCCACACATTGAACACCAAACCAAATAATGGTTAGGAACAAAAAAAAAAAGAAAAAGTAATGTATGTATCACAATAGTGTGTAACCCTATAACCTTTTTCTTTTTTATATTCTATTTAAATATCTATATTTTGTAACTTTAATTTATATAGCGTATTTTATTCATTTTTTTATGTTTGAGAGTAAATAATGTCATTTAAAAATAAGGGGGGGAAATCAAGAAATGCAAGAAAATCTACGTTTTGAGAAATTATTCTCAAAATATTCACTTTTTTCAAGAACTCACGCATTTATTAAGGACTAGCATTTTCAGTCGGAAGCTGGCATTCATATTTCGTATTCATTTTGATATTATAATAAACGAAACGAGGTCAATACTCTCCCGCAAGTGTGGGAAGCATCGCCTCTTTTGACCTGCAGAGTGAAAACCACATCAAGAGCTCTGTGAAACTCCATCAGTATATATACATCAAGAGGACGAATGATCTTATGCTTTCACTCTCGATAATATAGATGTTTTTACAACTCGCCTGATTTTTAAGGTCGGAAAATACTAAGTTACAGAAGGCTAATGAAAAAAATCAGCTAACACATTTAATAGATTTTTTTTCAACTATTTAAGTATTTAAATATATCCGATAGTTCGAGAGAGAGAGAGAGAGAGAGAGAAAAAAACTAACAATTTGATTACCTGACTGGAAGGAATTGCTAAATTTTCTGGCACCATTATCTTAGCCAATAGTCCGATTTAATTTATGTTGTATTGTTCCCTGAATTCTAGACGAAAATACTGGTCCTTAAAACGTGTTTTAATGTGCGGGGAAAAAAATTCTACTGATTTTAAAAAGGATAAACATTTTAAAGGGTGCGCGTATAAAGCGAAAAAAATAGGCTACAAAGAACACGCGTTGTGAAATTCAGGTAATAAACCTTTCGGGCCATAAATGTAGTTTAATTTAGAGATTTTACATTTCACGTGTTTTCGGCCCGAGCTTTTTTTTTTTTTTTAAGAGCAGGGCGCATATAAACGCCCACCCGCGCGTGTCAGAAACAGGGTCAATACTGGATAAAGCACTGACTAATCAAAACCTTTAAATAAGAGAATAACTAAACATTATATATATAGAACAGAATATTAGACCGGTGCAATATTATACGGAGACGACCCGAAATCAAGAGAATTCCAGGAAATTAAGCACTCAGTAAAAAACGAAACGGCCTTTTCGCATTATTTGACTGGATTAATACGTAATAAATTTCTTAAAAAGTGACTGTGTATTGCATGCATTGGGAGTAAAGAACGAGGAGTTTCCGCGTGTCCCCGTGACGCATGGGCTCGAAGTGATGCCTATTACCTGATATTAGCCTACCTGTCCGCTTCACACTCGTATCACGTGGCTGGAACATTTGCACTAACCCTACTTTCAAACACCTTCTTTACCAAATACAGTTTGGCAACAAATTGAACGCGATTTCATTATACGCAGAATTCCATTAAGAAAAAGTGCGACTGTAGGCTGTAGGGAATTCGTCTAATAAATCACACATTATTTTACTTTAAGGTGCTCATTATAATGTTATGACACAAATACATAATTGATAATACTAACTATAGCAATATGTAGTCGTAAGCGATCTCATACAATAATTACATATTCGTTATTACTACTCAGCATTTAGGTAAATGCGCTAGAAAATAAAGCCTGCACGGTCCGAATCGAGAAGAACATTTGGAAAACTGTATGAGGGGAGTAGTGCTGAACACATGTGTTTATAAAGTAGCAGTATGAGGAGTTCTGCTACTAAACTACTGTAACTAGTAGCCTTGCAGGCGCGCGTTAACAGGTGCTGCGGGGCTTCAGGACAACTGATGCCGCACAATAAAACTCTAACCAGCCGACACAACAGGTTCAAACCTCCAACAACAGCTTAGTGAGGAGCGAGCCCAAACTTTGCGTCCTTACCTGGATTCATCTGCGAGTAGTGCGAAATAGAGTCCGGGTTTGTGAAAATGTTCATAGAAGTGGGGATGTCTTCTTCTGGGTAGAGACTGTCAGGGATGGTGTTGATTAAACTGCTCATGGTAATAGGGATCTTGTCCGCTAGTTTACCTGTCATAGCAGTTATTCAGTCTGTCATTAATGAGCACGCACAGGTGTTCCGTCCCGATCGATCTCCAGTCTTCTGAAATCTCTCGAAAAGCGACAGAAAGAGATCGCAATCCCTTTGCGAATTGTATCCGAGCGCGCAACGGGCACCGCGCTGATGTCTCCTCGCGAGGACTGCTTTGTGTTTGCTTTCTGTGAAGTGTTATGGTCTCTGGATCAGTAGAGAGATGTTGTTGGTGGCGGTGGCGGTGGTGGTGATTGCACAAGTGTAGCGCGGCTCGCTGTGTTGCGAGCGCAGGGAACTCCAACGCTTTCTTGTTCAACGAGGGGGGCGGAACAAGTGCGTGACGTAGATGACCATATATGGACACACAAAGCTAGACGGCCGCTCGACGTCACATGGAAGCTCCTCATAGTGGAACATTAGAGTCGGCAGCAGGAACATAAGTGCTCAGTGGAGCAGTGAAGGGACGTTTTCTTACGAAGAGTAAGAAGTGTTTTAAAGACATATCGTGAGCATGGATATCACTAGATCTGTGAGAGCGCATGCCTGTAAAAACCGGGACACTTTTACCTGCAGTGCACCTGAAGCTGCATGAAAAAGGTGCATTTGTTTAATGCAGAGGCGGAACAAATGCATTTACAAATGCAGTAGGCCTAGTTCACAATGTTATGAAGAAATAATGTTTTAAATATACAATTATAAATATAGACATGGGGGTTATTGATGAAAATAGACAATTGTGAAAAAAAGAAATAATCAATTATACAAGATCAAATATGTGCTCTCTCGTTACAATCGACAAGTTTAAGTCTGGAGTAACGCGGCATCATTTGTACAAAAGCAATGCAGCATCCGTGCCATATTTGATACTAAACCCGCCAGCCACTTGCCTACTCAGCTGTGTACAGCCTTTTAATACATTCTCCTGGTCTAAATTGACTGCTTTTATTCAATTCAAATATGATATAATGAATTACAATGATATATGCCTGGATACATTATAGGTTACACCAACACAGCCACTTTTTACAATGCAGAATAATAATTCTGAATGATTGATACACTTTTCCAGAGAGCCATGTATTGCAAGACATTGCTATTTAAAAACGCAGCTACCTGTCAGTTTACTTTAATGCTTTTCTTTTTCCCGTACTTTACCTTGAGTGTAAATTAATAGCTAAATAAATAGTTCTGTCTGTTTGGTCATATAGAAGCTCCTAGCCCAATATAACATGCGTTCTGCAGGCTATCTTGCTTATTAAATGCTTATTCAAATTATATTACAAGGGCCACTTGTTAGCAGTTTACTGTAGCCTATTCTCTATGTGGTAAGTATCAGACTGTTCATAAAAAGTTCACAGATCCGACTGAATAGAATATCATGAGAGTGGAGTCTCATATTTCAACAGTCTGTGTTGCGAGTTAAATAGAAATGAAGACTCAAATGCATCATTTGTAAACGTGTTTTAAGCAATTGACTGCAACAGAAGCCCAGGAGAAGCACCAGTAACTGTGACTGTAACTGCCAGAGAGTTAATCGCGTGTAAATACTGCAGGCTTGGCTTTGGCCTCGAGCGCCAAGTTCGCCACTGAAGTGGAAACTCCAAATAAGGCCATGATCCGGCCACGCCCCTCGCTGCCTGTATTTGGTGCGCGAGGTTCCGGTTGAGAGCTACAAAGTGGAAAAGCGATCGGAACCCGCAGCCATTAAAGGAACCGCAGAGGGCACAACGTCATGGGTCGCGTTTCACCAATTTAGAAACCAGGGAGAAAATATCTTATCTGAGACTTTTAGAAGAAATAAAGAAAAGCTGCCCCTTGTTGCAAATGGTTGACTTTGTTTAGGGAGAATAACAGTGAAGGGGAAACACAGACCCTGCCAGCCGGTGGTTCACACACAAGCATGCTAATGATATACAACCCCTCGAACAGGACAATAACAAAATGGAAAACTATTTTTATAAATATAAAAAAAATACCATTATGTAGATGCTCGTTTAATTTAAAGTATATTATACATGGCATGGTTAAAATGCATACTAATAATAATAATAATAAACAATAGACCTTGCTATATATTATTATACATAGAACAAAATAGAATAAGATGACATACTTGTCTGTATGTAATCCAATTAGGAGGCCAGGGTGGCTCATGAGATTTCCCACGTGTCCAACTAAAATTCCTCACTCCTCATCCAAGCCAATCACAGGCACAGCGCTCCTATTACCCAGCGAGAGTAGAAATCCAGCCTGCCATGCATGCGCCGAAATGCTCAGAGGATGCTGATGCAATAGACAGAGTGATGAGGTAACAATTTGTACCCGAGACCCAGCTGACATGTGTACGTTGGCCTCGAGCCTGATAAATTATGAATGTGTTCAAAATAATAACTTCATACCTCCCACCACCCCCCCCACTCCAAACCAGAGGCTGATGTTGCTGTCATAAACAGACATGATACAAACTTTCCAGTTACATCGCCATATAATCTATTATCTAATATCTAATTTGGACATGCACAGTATATCTACAATTGTATCATTTAAAACCTTACACACAGTATATCTTACATTTGTTTTAAATCAGTTAAAACTTTACAAACCCTACCAAAAATAAACAAATAAATAAAACTTACGAACTTGAAAAGTATTAAAATAAATGCCATTTGATATTTGTATTATGAAATGCACCCACAAATAAAAATCCTCTCTTCATTTAATCACCCTCATGTTGCTGGTCCCCATTGACTTCCATAGTACTTTTTTCCATACTATGGAAGTCAATGGGTACCAGCAACTTTTTTTTTTTTTTTTGTGGTGAAATATCCCTTTAAGTGTTGAAATACTTTTCGGGGCATATGCATATATCCATATAAAGACAATTCATTGGATGCATCCATCCATCCAATGAACAACTCCCTCGATTAACCTCATTGCGTCCCCAGTGATCCCCAACAACCGTACGACTGCCAAATCAACTACACTCCGTTCTGAACTCTGGAATTATCTGCTTTGGCAATTGATACATAAACAGTGTAGTAGTATTAGCTGACAGATATGGCCTAATGAAGTAAAAAACGGAGTGTGTGGGAGGGGGTCTGAATCATGCTGTGTGTTCTGGGGGCTACAATAAATAAACGCAGACTGACACACACTCGAGGGGGACTCCAAAGTCTAATGTCTACTCAATGGGCAAGATGCAACATGTGTGTAGGTGAGCTGCTAAAATGACGCTGTGAATCTGCCATTGGGGGAATCTGAAGGGGATCTCCCCCCACTCCCACTTTATGTCCCAGATATGAATATATGATCTGATCCAATCAGGATGGGAATGTGTCATTGTTCGTTGAGCCAAGAATGTTGACAATGCAACAGGCCGTCTCTAAGGTACACTTGAAATCTGGTGCTGTCACATTAAATCAAATGCCTGTGAATCAGTATTCTTGAAATATGTGCTAAAATTAGGTCTCTCTATTCATTTCTGTTTTCTTTGGAGGGACACATTTAATGAACTTCTGTAGCATCTGTTTATGTAAGTGTACTTTTGTAAACGAGGAAATGCACACATACTTCATTAGCTTAGTGGCAGCAATATTGAAAAATAGAGTGGAGACTTCATAATTTGAATATTACTTTTTATAGACCAAAATAGAGGAAGTAAAGACTCTATTTCCACTGACTGAACCCATGACATGTGCCAGCACTTGTGTATACTGATGACGAGGCTGTCAGTGTTCATTCAACAGCACGAAACAAAAATGTTCAAAACAAACAATGATTTTCATATGGCTGATGCTTGGAAACATAACCTTAACCAGGTGCTTCTCAACCTTTTTGACCCCAATGCCCTCCATTGTTTGTGTGTGTATATATATACATATATAATAAAGTATTTTTACTCACACACAATTGAAATATTTTAGAACTTGGCATAGATAGAAAAACAAATATTTCATCATGAACACCTCTGAGATTTGATCTGAAAAACAGAAGAAAAGTCAAACATATAATCAACAAGATTGCAGTTCATAAGAACTGATTGCTGCTATCCACATAGCTCTACAAAATCCATATACATACTATCTTAATTAATAAGCAATATAAATCATGCTGTACTTACAGTGATACTGGAAATTATTTTGTTGAAAATGTTTTGTTCTTCTGAAATGCCAAACCGGATCTCGAAAGACCTTAATGTCAGGTGACCACAAATAAACAAATAAAAGCATTATAAATACATTCTGACCTTTAAATGTCTCCAACCGTTGCATCCTTACGTAGCTGTTTTAGTGGAAAATCATCCTGCCATTGGCCACACTTATCTCCTCAGTGCCTGATCCCAACTGTTCTTTCAGGGATGCAAAACAGACGAGGGAATTCCCTTTGGATAGGAAAAGCACGGTCTGTCAGGGCACTTTCCTAAGGGAAGCCTTTTCATGGAGTCCAGACTGGAAAAACTGCCTAACACCTGTCGAGCTCCGCTTGTGTTTTTATTTCCGCAACTATTATGAGCGAGCACATTGTACAATGAATGATTGACTAGAGTTTGACTATGGAATGGTTGCAGGCTGAAAAGGACTCCCCTCATGCATTTTGCATGTAGGGAGTCCGGGGAAGCGCTTGCTTATCCTAGATCTTGATCTCGCTAATTTCAATATGCGGCGGAAAAATACAAGGCCGCAACGGGTGTATAATCAAATTAGTTTTGTGTGTTTCCAGGCTGTGCGAGGGGCATTTCCAGTAGCTGTTTCTCGGTGAAATATCCCTTTAAGTGTTGAAATACTTTTCGGGGCATATGCATATATCCATATAAAGACAATTCATTGGATGCATCCATCCATCCAATGAACAACTCCCTCGATTAACCTCATTGCGTCCCCAGTGATCCCCAACAACCGTACGACTGCCAAATCAACTACACTCCGTTCTGAACTCTGGAATTATCTGCTTTGGCAATTGATACATAAACAGTGTAGTAGTATTAGCTGACAGATATGGCCTAATGAAGTAAAAAACGGAGTGTGTGGGAGGGGGTCTGAATCATGCTGTGTGTTCTGGGGGCTACAATAAATAAACGCAGACTGACACACACTCGAGGGGGACTCCAAAGTCTAATGTCTACTCAATGGGCAAGATGCAACATGTGTGTAGGTGAGCTGCTAAAATGACGCTGTGAATCTGCCATTGGGGGAATCTGAAGGGGATCTCCCCCCACTCCCACTTTATGTCCCAGATATGAATATATG